AAACTGGAAAACCATCCACTAACAAAATCAAATTAAGCCAAATTGCCAGCATTAATCATTTTAATCATCAATTAATTAATTAATAATAATAAAGAGGAGGTTTTAATTCTATAGGTTAATAAGTTTTTATATTTTTTTAAGGACCCTTTTTTTTCTTATAGTAATTTATTTTTATTTTTTTAAAAAAAAAAAGTGTTAGTCAAAAAAGTTTGTGGGAAATTTTATATTTTTATGTTTTATATTTATAAATATATATATATATATATATATGAGATCTTGATGTATCATCCTTCGTGTACATTTCTACATGGAAATATATAAATATATATGTGTGTGTGTGTGTGTGTGTTTGTTGAATTTATTGAGCTTGATAGAATAATGTGGGTTAATTACAAAGTAGCTTTAATTCTGAAAAATAATTAATAAAATAATTCGTTATTGAATTATTAAATGTATTACATTATATTTGACATTCAATTGTATGATGATATGATAAAAAAATTAAATAACTAAATCATTAAAAGAATCTTTATATATTTATGTTGATTAAATTTATCTACCATCTATCATTAAGAATAAAACACGATATACATAATACGTATATCAATATATACATGCGTGTATAGTGTTTAATACACGTGTATGCATGTGTATGTTTTGAATTTAATATTTTTTTAATTAAAGATAGCAAAGAGAGATGTAATAATCAAAATATTAATTACAAAAATTTAAAGTTTCACAAATCATTATAATTTTGATCATTTAAATATAAAGTCATGTAAGGTAATTGGTCACAATTCTCAAAAAAAAAAAAAGAACAATAAATATTTGTTATTTTTTAAATTAAAATATAATATGTATATTATGATTATATAAACCAAATTTATTTTTATTATATTATCATACTATTTTTATATAATAAAATTTTTAAAATTAAACTTAAGATGGGTCTATTTATATACTAAATAAAGAAAAAAAAAACTTAAAAACTCAAATACGTATAACCCACGTGGGAAATATGTTGGGTGGTTAAAGTTTGGAATTGGTAGTTATTAAATTTTTAGGGTTGAAAGAAAAAATAACAAAAATAGAATGAACATGGGGGATGAAATCGTGAATCGTGAAGCGTGCCCATACATATATATATATATATATATTTATAGCATGTAGATACAGTAGCTTAATCAGAATTCCGAAAGCTGAGTGTCGTATACGATATGTTTTGAATTTGTAAACAAACTTACAACCTGTCCTATTTAATACAGAAGATAAGACGATCACGATCCTATGCCTACCTCTTCTCTACTTCAACAATTATATATATATATATATATACATACATACATACTCACACAAACTTCATTTCTGCGTGTGTGTGTGTGTGTGTGTATGTATATATATATATATATATAGGCACACACAAACCCTCATTATCCCTTTAATCTAGATTAGCCTTACTTATTAGTACGGTTAATTTGTTTTTCCGCTAGCCATAGTCAATCAATCCCTTCTATCTAATTAGTGTGCATACTTATCAAAAATATAGTTTTATAGTAGTTAAAATCATTATCATTTATTTAATAAATATGTCACAAATGCAAAATTTATCGGTGATGTAAAATTAGTTATTTTATTAGTACATAATAGGTTGACAATAATCGAGTAATAATATTTAATTCAACGGAGTTTATAACTTAGATTATCAGCGTGCTGATTAGGTTATGATCGAACTTTATTTCAACTTAATAGGTGATGATATTTTTGGATAAAATAAATTTATTTCGTTGCGAATAAAATTTCTTAACTGATAGTAAATATATTGAATTGAAAAACTCGATATAATTTTTTTTCTCGAGAGAAAAAGTCAGTATGCACATTTAATTGTAATTTTTTAATTTTTTATAATCAATTAAAATAAAATAATATATATTATAAGAATGAGAAAATAAAACGAAAAAAGATAAACTATAAAATTTTATTTCAAAGTATGAATGAATGCTTAAATTTAGTTTGTAAACACTTAATAACCAAATTTCAAATGCCCTCTAACCATAAAATTTTATATTTACATAATTATATACTATTTGACTATAAAGCTTTCAAGTAAATTTACTCATCGTATGAGAATATTTTTTACATGCGTAATCATCTTACTGTAATTTTTTATATTGTTTTTAATTCTCTTTTGCTAAATATAAGATATGATCATAAAACCTTTATAAAAACTACAGTAGTAAAATAATATTTAAAACGAAGACATTTAATATGTTCTTATGTACAATTTTTTATAATTTTGGTTGTCTTAAAATGATAAGTGAGTAATAAAAATTAATTATACATAATTGATAGTTAAGATGATGCTAAGTTTCTTGAATATGCTAAGATAAACAAATAGTAATTTCTAAATTTTATCTTATGAAAACATTGTGATACTTAAATTAATAAAAAAAATACAAACTTAAAGAGTACTAATGAAAATAGATAAATTTGTTTGACATTAAGCTTAAGCTATTCTTATTAAATATGACATTGTAATTTTAAGAGTTAATAATAATATAATTACCTTTGCATATAGTAATAATATCATAGTCTTAAAAATGACATGATCTTACATTAGTGATCATAGTCTGATATTTAGGTTAATAGTTATAATATGATCTTCTAAGTAATAATAGTGATTTGGGTTGTAGATCATCTCATGTGTACGCTTAAAATGATATTTTTAATAGAACTTCTCTGGATTCAACATATTTTAACCATACCTGTTGCAGTTTTTTAAACTAAGTAGTTATGACTATAAGAAAAATAAAGAAGACCAAAGTGTGTTTGAGTTTGGCATGTCAAGACCCACTTGAATTCGGTATATACACGTGTTATTTATTAATATAAACATTACATACATATGAACACACTAAAACATAAAAAAAAAAAGTGAAACCCAAACCTATTTTTCATCTTTTACCAAGAGAAGCATGCACATTCCACCTCTAGGTGGGTCACAATGCAACCAACCAACTCCTTTTACTCTTCATCAAATATCGCTGACTCCAACTCTTATTCCTCTCTATCTCTAGGTTGCATATATAAATAATAAATTAAAAAGTTATATATTTGTTAAAATAATAGGGAAAAAGATTATAAATTTTGTTTACAATATATGCTATTGAATTATAATGAAAAAATTATACAGTTGAGTTTATGTTAGCTATATTTGTCCTAACACACTACATTATCATTTTTATGTTTGATGACTAATTTTTTATAATCATACTTTATATTGATTAACTTTATGAGATATTTACTTGTCACGTATCTTTATGCTACTTATTAGTTTTAATATATTATACTATTATCATATGTTATACCGTGTGTTATTTTTTATATGCATCAAATATTTCTTAATTTTACCGATCAAATCAATTAAATTATAATTAAAATATTTGTTCACGAGCTTCACAAAAAAAAAAATAAATTGTTAAAATAAATAAGAATGTTCGGTAACTATAGAATTAATAAAAAAAAAGAAATAAAATTCCACAATAATTATGATGATTATTTTTTATTTTTTCCTTTTAATAGGATTCCACAAGCAATAAATTATTATTAAAATATTATTTAATTTATATAAATATTTAAATTATGCAGGCAACTTATGGAATATAAATTAATTTGGTCATAAAAAAATTGGGTGGACATAGCAAAATAATGGAAAGTGTTATAACATATTAAATTAACATTACTAATTTTAAAATTAGTAACTAATCAAATATTAAATAAAGTATTAAGGAAGTTTGACAAACGTCGTTGTCAAGTACGTTAGGAGTTCTGTACTATTTTTTAGCCAATGTCCGTGAAACACAGAAATTTGAAACTTTATTTCTCCGTTAACGACCACCTAATTCCAGCAGCCGAGCTCAGCCGAGCCGGACGGAGGCCGACGTCGTTATCGGAATTTTGAATGCTGGGCGCTGCGTGAAGGATTAGGAAAGCATTTATTCGGGATGCTGACTGGAGCCACCCACGTGTCGCGCTGTGATTGGAGAAGATATCTAAAGCTGCGTCAAGTAATTTGGAAGCCATGATGCTGTGCTGCCTGTTCCTGTTCCGCTTCGCAGTACGCTACAACCTTTTAGATTCTTTAAAGCAGAAAATGATAAAAATGACTTTCACTTTTTCTTTTCATTATTTTTGACTGTTGTTTCTTTCTTTTTTTTTTTTTCTTTTTTTTTTTTTCTCTCTTCCTTTAAATTTTTTAATTTTCTTTTTACTGGGATTTGTGAAATTGAAATTAATCATTCGTTCTCCTGTTGTTTCACTGCAAAAAGTATTTTTTTTTTTAAATTATTCCCTATAACTGTTTAATTACTCATAAGTTAATTATTATTATTATTTTTTTGACTCAATGAACTTTATATTATATAGTCCAGAGTTTATCTATATGTACATATAAATAGGTTAGGATATTGTTTTTTCTTAGTTGAATCCTGAAATATATATATATACACACACACACACACATTTAATATTTCATGTGACAATCCCTAGTTGCAAAGAGCTACTACACATATATACTATTTGATACAAATATGAATCTTTAAAGAGGGTTTCTGTGTATTTCTTTATGACATATCTTAAATTTGATGTAATTAATTACTCATAGAATTTATTTATTTTTAAATATCAATAACAAAAGTCTATAAATTAAAATACTAAACATAAATTGCACAAAAGATTTATCCTTAATAGATTCAAAATCAAATAAAAGAAATACTAAATTTATTTTGTTTATTATATTTATTTTTTGGCAGGAAGAATAATATTTTACTAATTTACTATTACCGTAGGGAAATAATGTAAATCTGGCAGGTGGATTGTGGTGCCACGTGGTGGAATGCCATTTGTAGACTACCAATCTTGCAAGATGGAGCTGGAAAGATGGGTCCCACACGTTAAGTATATTGGTTAACGATACATGTGACGCCCGACAACCAAATCAACTTAAAAGAAACTCCTCCCAACTACACACTAAAGCACAAACGACTAATGGAGTGGGCTCACTCTGTTTTAATCCATTAGCAGCTAACTAAAAACAAATTTAAAAATTTTGCATGATTTGAATTTATAATTTACCTTCTAAATAATTCACAGAAGATATTAAAAAGAATTAAAAAAAATTAATAGCCGTCTGATAGACGATGAAAGGTCCTGCAGATCAGACGGTTACTGAGAAAGAGAAAAAAAAAAAAAAAAAAAAAAGGAAAAATCACGTGGTAACGGTGGGCTCGCGGCCGTTAGATATACAGCTGTTCAGTACAAGAAAGTGACTGGGGAATGGGGGATGGGGGCACAATTTATTTTGGGGGAGGGGGAGAGAGAGAGAGAGAAGAGAGTTGTACTTAATTTTTAAGCATAAAAAAAAAAAAAAAAAAAGAAGCCACGTGTCAGTTGGAGAGAGACTTACATATTTAAACTACGGGTCTTCCCATGTTTCTATGTTGTTGTATAATGTAAAAGAGTCTTGAGTAAATTTTATAAAGGAAAAGAGCTTTTGTTATTTTTAGGCTGATGTATTCGTAGTTTTCAAAAGCTGAATTTTTATTTAGCGAGGGAAGGAAGTTGCATGAAATTGGAGCCCACTTCTTTTTATCCACTCACCTATATACTAAAAGACAAATTACAATGTGTTTGTGTGTTATAAATTGGAATCAACAGACGTGCAAATAAATTATAAAATTAAATAAATAAATATTCAATTAAATATATAATTAATCAATAATTATTAGTCATTTTTTTTTTTTTAAAAAAATTATTATTATCGTTCTACTTAGTAAATTACCATAATCTAATTCAAATTATATAATTGTATAAATAGATCTTAAATTAAATAATAAAAAAATTAATTACATAATTAACAATTAATAATAAGAAGTTTGTTGTTTAATTTTAAAAGATTTATATATATATATATTTCTTTCAAAAGACAACGAAAGTCACTAAGCCTAAACTATGAGTCTTCATCATCATCCATTTATCTGATATCTTATAGTAAATATTATTGTCACGTAGTACCTTAGATGCACAATGCCTTTAAATATTTGAATAAAATCAAAAACTAATAACACATTTTTAAATACCAAACCAAAACTAAATACCTGAATATATATACACAAATGGAAAGAAAATTCGAAAACGCATCCCATCAAATTATATAAAGATACAACAAATAGAACAAAATGACCTAAACCAATCAACATTAACTAGAGATGTTAATGGGCAGTGGAAGTTTAGGTCGCAGACAGTATAATGTTGTTGGTTCAGTTGAAGCTGCAATACAAGCCTCACAAGCGACCTCGCCTAAACGAAGCAGACAACACAACTCACTGCCCAAACCGCATTTGAAATTTTGATTGTCGATCATTTCTTTCACAGAAATCGGGGGCCCAGGACGTGAATAGGACAAACTCGCAACTATTGACCGTTTGATCTTCTAACACCAAGGATCACGCTCTGCCTCGGCAGAGCAGATAATATGATGGTAAAAAAAAAGGAAGGAAAGAAATGAAATGGTTACAAGTTTGAAAAGAAAAGGCCTGCAGTGTGGGAGAGGCTCCGTTTCGTGTCAGCTGTGGATGTGATTGAATGATTTGATAAGAGATGAGGCCGACGGAGTTAGTGGAGCGTGGAGTGCACGCGGAAAGAGAAAGGGTGAAAGTAGGAGGAGAGGAAACGGGGAATGGGTCTGAGTCCTGACTCCTGAGGATTGTGGAGACGCTGCCAAAAGGTAATTTTAGTTTCATCACAACCCCGCTAGCAGACAAGTGCTTGACGTATCTAAAATATCAAGATTGTGTATGTTTGCCGCGATTTTGTCATTGTGGTCAGTTGAAGAAGAATCTTATTACTTACTTCTACCATTCATGGGAATGACTAAGTAAATATTTTACCAATTCAGAGACTCACTTCCTCTTTTATTTATAGACAACCAGGAAAGTTATAGAATGCTTATTGCAAAAAGCAGTCATGCATGGTGCAACCAACCGGTGCCTCTTGACTCTACTCTTGTCTACTTCTGCTATGTTGCCTCACATGCTAATTGCTATTTGCCTCTCCAAAACTCTTCTATTTTTTATTTTTACATGTATGTTTTAGAAACTCCTAATATATATATATATATATATATATATATTGGACATTATCTTACAAAACATTCTATAAACGTAATGAACTATTAAAAGACATTGGTTTTTTTTTTTTTTTTTTACATAAAATTACAAAATCTGCATTTGAAAAAGGTATAGTAGATTTCCTAGATATAACTAAAATTTACCCATTTCCCATTTCGAGTTTCAACACAAAGTTTAGTACAGGAGAATTTCTAATCATGACTGAAATTTTAAAATCAAATCTATTTTTTTTACTTCATAAATTTCTGACCGAAGAGAAATTATTCAGCCTCGGACTAGAAGAAGGAATTTAGCACGGACAAAAGAAACTTGATTACAATAAGTTACCAGGTATAGTTCAGCTAGCATGCTTCGCTTCCCTTAATTTACATGCTGCATTAGCCCAAAAATTTGTACATACACAAACAAACATTTATAGAATGAATAGTGAAACCTCCTTGTCTTGAGGTTGTGTTCGTAATAAATGAATTTCATAAGAACCATACAACTTTATGTTAAGCTTAATTTTATGTTTAGAATTCATTTAATATAAGTGAAATACTACTACGTTAGAGATACATCGCTATTTTATGTTTGTTAATCTTTCAAACATGAAGTCTCAGATTTCAAATGATTTCTGAATGAAACAATACCATATTAGAAATACACTACTGAAAATGCATACAATATTATAAAATACTCTAACCATAAGAAAACATTAAAAGAGTGAATGAGAATTCCAACTAACCTTTCACAACGCTGACATTTTTTTTTTTTTTCTTAAAACGTCAAAGCCAGCAGGGCATTTGTGCGTGCCACTCCAAACATCTGACGCTGACAAATGAACAACCTGTGTTCAAGAGCCTAGTGTATAACGTAAGCGAATGTGCTGTTCATTAAAGCAATGCATTAACCACCGATTGTATTTACAAACAGGACCACAGCTAGACCTTCGACTCATTCGGGCCTTGAGTTGTTCTAGTGGAATTGGGCCATTGATTGTAGCAAAGAAGAATGAAATAATTATTTGGGCCACGCCTACCAGAGCACATTGATTTTCTTCTATTTTGCGCCATACAGCTTATAACTTGTAATCAAACTTATAATCCATGCCACCATGGATTATTATACGAAAGCCAATTTTGACTCGCAGCCACAATCTAAATGGACAACAACCAATTATCATCCCTAATTGAATACCATACTTAAGAAGCAGCAACTGAGTAGTATTAGGCATACCAAACTAGAAAATGTTAGTACCCTTTGTCCCTGAACTAGCAAAGAAAACAGTTTTAGATGAAAGATTCTAGAATTCTCTACTAAGAAAATTTTCACAAATTTCATGAATAATGATAATGTGTGGCTACAACAAAAATTGGAAATGGTATATGTTTTTTGACCATCAAATGGGAATACAATTTGCTTGCATAGGAAAGTCCATGCAAAGACGAGTCCACAAAAAAATGTTTGCTAATATTAAAGTCTATCTCAGTTATGAATCCAGATTGCAGACTTTAGAGAGACTGCTGATTTAAGGTGTACTTACTGCAGAAAAGGTTGAGCTAAAGATCAGGAATATGCACAACACTACTAGTAGCTTTATCTTCCTTTTTAGATCCCTTCTTCCGCTTCCTCTCACCAAGGGGTTCTTTGGCTTTCAGGTTCTCAGAAAAACACCTTAATAAACTAGATAAATCTTCATTTCTATGTGCTGAAACCAAATTGAGCCAATCTCAGAACACCAAATAGGCAAAAGAAAGTTAGTTAAACAGGTCATCCATCTTTAGTGTTTAAATACTGTTAGTCTCTTCTTTGGAATTAGTACAAATATTTTATGGTATTCATTTGGAAATTCACATTAAATTCGACTATTGAAGGTTATAACTTCTATTAGAAGATATACAATTTTGGTATTTTTTAAAATTATCAACAAAATTAATTTTTATAAAATTGAGAAGTATTTTCACCATTCACTAGTCAAACTATATTCCATGTAAATTTGTAAATAAATTCCACAAAATTTCAAGTTTTTTATTTCTAAATATTGTCTAAACTTCAGTGATCAAAATTTTGAATTCTAGTTATCTTTTTTTTTGTTGAAGTTTAAAATTTCAACACACAATATAAATAGATCCGTTTCTATTAACTAACGCTGTTATTTCACACTTTTCAGTTGATAATATTATTCAATTTAAGTGAAACTACAGGTTTAGCAAGCTGTATAGACGTGAAAATTTACCAGAAAGTATGACATCCTCCATATTGATGGTTTTCCTGCCAGCATGCTGTGCAAACAGCTCAAGATCCTTTGCCAGCTGCTCTGCTTTTAAGACAAGTATGCCTTTCGTTAGTCAAAGCAAACTTTACAACCACAAGGATCACCGTATAGAAAAAAGAATACCACCGATATAAAGTACTTAATCAACTTAACTCTTGTATGACTATGAGTTTAGAGTAAGCTTTTTTTTAAGGGAATGCCTTATCTCTATCATTGTCTTCTTTCATATTAATCTACTGATTTCTTTTTGCATATGCATAAGGAATGTACGCTATTTGAGTCTTGCTGGACCCAATTCTACAAATAACTGAAATGACTTAAAATTGAAGCTGATTCTTGTGATGCACTAAAATAAGAAAATCCTAAGGTTTTAACATGAATTGCATTTTCCCAAAATTATTAAGCGTTATCTCCAAGCAACCTTCGGGTACTGCAACAGAACTTTTAACAAATCCACAATAACTTGGCTAGAATTCATTCTACGCAGCATCTCGTCATGTCTACCTTAATTAAAAGTGTGAGAGAAGCAATTCCATGGTTGGAAGTAGTCAGGAAGCTTCATTTGAATAAAACGACTATACCACACTTTACAGAATGTAGAAACGCTTACATGATAAGTCATTTAGAGCATGAAATCCTCTATCAGTTAATAATTTAGTAGTTAAGTGAATGGGATCATAATCCAAATGAAATCCAAATGCCAATTGCAGTGTTTGTAACTAAGAGAAAAATAAAAATATTCAATTATGCATTTGAAAGAATGAAGTGTACAGAAAATTAGATCGCATGGAATGCTGCATTTTACCTGCATATTTGAAGGCCAAATCGGTGATGCAAGCTACTATCGGTTCAGATATTTCCATGCAGTTTCTCCTCGCTGCTCAAATTAATTAAAAGTTAAAACTAACTAGAACCAAGAGTTTCTTCATTTACTATGGTCAGAATTTCTATCATTTTCCTCAATTTTCTTCCGAACCGGAAGGAGAGCACGGATGAGAGAATTCAACCTTCAGCTTCGGCGACAGAGATCGCGGAGAGTCTGAATCGGTCTCTCAATAGATCAGCCGCGGAATCATCTTCTTCTTCTATATCTGGAGATCCTCTGCCTCCACCTCCATCCATTGAAAAGCAAAAGCTAGGGCTTCTCCTGATCATCCAACAAAAAGATGGAGAAAAGCGCGGGAAATGGAAGCTTGACCGGGCCACCGCCTTCTTTGGGGCCTGCCAATTCAAATTTGTTCGGGGGAAAATGATAAAAACATTATCGAAGTATATTTTCTCCCAAAAATATGGGTAATTTATAAAATATCTTCCAAACTCAGAATATAATTATAAAATACTATTTAAATTTATTTTAAACATACTTTTTATGATTATTTAATTAACTTTGTATTATTAATTATTTTTTTATAATTAAAAAACTGTATATTTGACGACAGGGACATAACTAATTCAATTAATAGTAATATAATGTTTCTTATATTTGCCTGATAATTGTATGCTGAGTCCAACAAAAGGGCTAAATATCTTTTTGCCTTATATACTTGGGCTTTTTTTTTTTTTTTAAGGAAATACTTGATTAAAAAATTAATCATTTCATGATGCATAAAATTACATGCAAAATCTGATACCAAATAAAAAGTAATATTCTTTTATCGTTTATCATTATTTTTTAGTAAAAATTATTATATATATATATATATATTAAAAATTCAAATATTTAATTTTGAAATGATATAGACCTAAAATCAGTCAAAACAATCTGGAGCACAAATTTAATCTGGTCAAGATCACAACATTTTCTGAAAGAGAGGACCGTGCCACTTTCTTCCTCGAGTGTGTTTTTCACAGTCTGTTTGCAACAGGAAGTGAAAATTAAATGTGTGCTTTTCATATGCATAAAACTTAAATTTCCTTCCGAGGGCTCAGTATGATCCTTTGATGTCGTTCAATATGTCCAAAGTTTTATCACAATCTGCATAAATAAGCAATAAATATAGACAGAACCTACACATCAGAAAGAGAATGTCAAAGTGATAATCTGACGGATGTAAGAGAATTCGGCCGGAAAAAGCAAATCAGATGAGATTGTGGAAAGTGGTGGCGACATGAGAACAATGCGGCTTGAACCTCTCAATAAAAGCTTTTACAGGCGGATAGGATCCAAAAGAACAAAGAGCAGCGTGATAACTTGCTCGCTGCTCTTAGCAATCTCACTGATGCAATAGAGAGAAATATAGCCACCATGATCACCAAGAACCAAGAACCAAGACGCGGAGAGGATTCTATAATAAGAGCTTTCTCCAAATGTAGAAAGTTATTTTAGGGGTTTTACATGGGGATATAAGTGCTTTCTGAGTACATATTAGTCACAAAATTCATAAATATGATTGATTCATATTTTTCTTCTTTCCATTTCCGTAATCCAATATTGGGAAACAACCAATCTAACATCCACAATTAAGTTTTTAAGTCTTTCTCCTATTTTCTATCATTATTAAACCTTTCTATCATTATGGTTTATTTGGCTGATTCTTAATAAAGGCTGTTAATTTGCTAAACTAATCCTTTCTTCCTTGTTTTATAGTTTCTAATCCACTAGCAAAAACTCCATTTATTTTGGGAAGAATGACAGGCAGGCCTATATTTCTTAGTTTCGTAAGGACTCCTTACTAGCTATGTTTCTATTTATTATTATCTAAAAATAACCAAATTATTAATGACCTGAAGAAATAACCTCTCAGCTTGTGAAATTACAGAATTTCCCCTTTAAGATAAAAAAATTCCATCAACTTGAGCATGATCGAAAGTAAATCAAATCCAGACCCTTGACATTAGTTGATGTCTCCTAAACTCTCTACCATGGAGGGTCACAGTCAGGTTCAGGAAGCTGCTGGCTACATCCAGCTTTACCTCTAGAAGAACATGAAAACAATGCTCAATATTTGGTATGTGCTTACCAAATAAAACGTAAGATCAGAAAGCTCCAGAAATAAACTCTTTTCTTCTTGCACACTCTGATGACTGAAAAAAACCCAACATAAAATCAAAAGAGAAAGAAAACGTGCAAAAGAACCGACAAATTTTGTCCCCATGTATTTGAAGTTAGAAACGTGGGATCTAATACAGGCTGTAAATGTGATTATACATGCACAAAAAATATACATAATAGGGAAAATTTGGGGCTCTGTTACAATGAAAGATAACGAAGGAGCAAGTAGAATGACGCTAGATTCAAAGCTGACCTCTGTTAGCTCTAGGCAGGAACGGCCTCAACAAGCCTGGAAAAGTAGAACTGTGTAGTGATTAGTCCTCTCTTTCTTATCTTCCAACCAACCTTCTGCAATGCCCTCTCCACGTCTGCCTCTGCGTGAAGATATGCCCTTGTTGCCTTGGAAGGACCAGGGAACAATTCTCCTACTCTCTTTAGCAGATCATAGTAAAATGTCTTTGGTGCAAAGCTCAGGATTAATCTGTTTTCTGCTAATGAAGCAAGGTGGGCAATCATTCCATCTGCTTTGTTCTGAGGGTAATGTATCAAAACATCTAAGCACACCACTGTATTGTACTTCCCTTCAAGACTTTCTAAATCTTTAACCTCGAATTTTGGCATCACAGGCACAGGTTCAATATTCCCTGAAAACAGCTGGTCTCTTGCCTGCACAAGATTCGGGAAAAGAATCTCAGATTACCTATAATGGCGATTACTATAAAATGTTAGAAAATTAGCAGCAAGGACTCAGTCAACCATCATCCTACAGAGAAGATTATTTGAATTGTGATGAAACTCAATCCAATTTCTTATTTTGTACCTTAAATTGAAAAGTCGAAAACCCCTTCTACGTGCGCCTAGCAGTATATGACAACATTTTGATGACAATCTCATCAACAATTTCAACCAGACTGACTGACCTGTTTCTCAGCTTCACCAACCATGGCTGCGGAAATATCGCTGGCCGATACGATTGCGCCTTCTTTTGCCAAAGGAATCGCGAGGCACCCCGTCCCACACCCGGCGTCACAAACGGTGACGCCTTGCAACGAGCCTTCGCCCTTCAGCATCTTCATTACGTTCTCGACAGTCTTCGAATGGCCGAGCCGGATGTCGAGCTGCACCTTGTTAACGTCATCGGTCTCACCGTATATCTTCTTCCACCTTTGGAAGCCCGAGTTGTTGAAGTAATCCTTCACCACTTCCTTGTCCCCGCCGCCTACTTCCTCTGCCTGGAGTCGCCGTCTTCGCTCCGGGTCGGCGAGCGATATCACGGCAGCGAGGGCCGCAACGGATCCACCGCCTATGACAGCTATGGTAGTACCGTCGACGGCCGAGAGGTCGGTGGCGGAGGCGGAGACGACGAGGGTGGTTCTGGCTTTGTTCGGGGAGGCATGCTTTGGTTTGATAGAAAAGTTGGAAGGAAATGGAAGGAATCTACAGTTAGTTGAGCGGAAAGAAATGGAGGAAGAGGACAGAGACGGAGAGTATGCCATTTTTGTGCTCTCCGGTCGATGAGGAGAGGTAGTTACGTGTCTCTTTGGAAGGAGGCTGTTGGCGATAAAGGGATATATCCCGGATAGGGATAGGATAAACGTGATTGCCTTTTGATTTCCGTGGGGCCGTCAGATATATTTTCCCTTTTTTCATCTTTTGGCGCTCTACTCCAATCATTTAATTATTTAATAAGCTCTTATTCTAGACTGATTATATATATATATATAATTTTTGAGTTAAATTTTGTTATAAACTTAAAATAAATATAGTAGTCTTATAATATAAATGATACCAAAAAAAAGGAGAAGAATATAAGAAACTATACAATAAGTCTTTCTTCAAATTTATCATATCATAAAATTTTTGACAATCTCTATTTATACGAGTAAATGAGATCATGAATTAAATTGTAAATTAATTAGACAATTATGCAAGAGAAATAGATGTAATGAAAAGAGGTGTGAAATTTGGAGAATTCATAATATTTCTATCTATCTTAAAATACAAATGTTGCAATGATAGAAACCTTATAAAAAAATTATAACAGGATAAAACCTTGTTTAATAAAAAAATATAGCATGTAATTATTTGGTAAATAAATTGGCGAAGTTGTTTGCTTTAACAAATTTTTAAACTTCAATTTTGAAGATGATTTGCAAAAAAAAAAAAATGATGAAATATATTTTATTAAGTAACTTTTAATATATCATTTATCTAATTGAACTATATATGTAATATTATTATCATTAAGAATTAGGATATATTTATTTCATAAGATAGATTACATTATTAATTTCAATCATATACATTAATTGTAAAAAAGATAAGTTATGATAACATGTTGGTCTTATACTTATGAGTTCCACCACATGAAAAATAACGTGTCCCAAAATTGAGATAATGAGTTTTACTCTCATAATTAGCGGTCTGTAACGACCCGAAAAATTCAAAAGGAAATACATATAATAATCTGAGTGCCAAAGTGAAATAAAAGATTAGGATTAACATCATTTACACAATAACTTAAAAGTACTAAACAACATCACATAATAAGTTCTCTGAAATAAATACGAGAAATGAGAAAAATAAAGAAAACTATAAAGCATCTAACATCTACTCGCAGTCTTCTTGTGGATCGAGCTCGGGAACTAGGTCCTATTGATCTGAAATGGTTAAATAAGAAATGAGCTACACTATGCTAGTAAGGACATTACACTATATTACCGTCACAGAAGTAAAGATTGGTAGAAAACCAAAAATAACCAATAGAGCACACATTTTAAACCAATACATTTATTTAAAATAAAATTACCCTTTTTCTTACCATCGGAGAACCTGTAAAAACAACCTATAAAGACAATAACATCATACAGATCATAATTCCATGCATAATCAGTAACATAAAATATATCATAATTTCGTATTCATTAACAATAACTGATTATCACCGTTTCTTGTTTTCACCAGCCTACTAATATCCATGGGGATCCATAGGGGTGTCCCCGCTATACGTGAACCATTTTCTTGAACAGTATTAATTCCAGGGTCGTCCCCATACCCCGTTCGGTATGAACACTAAGACATTAAAGTATGAGGGTGAAGCAGGCCGCCCCATACCCCGTCCGGTATGAGCGCCAAATGACGAAGTCTCCATATCTCGTCCAGTATGAGACAACGTTCACGGTAAGATTCCCTATGAACTCGATCCGTCTACCATCTCGAAGGATATCTAGTGAGGCTATCACTTTATCTGTTTTCCCTTACTCTCCGTTACCAAATTAAACATAATCACATAAACAATAAACATGCACATGGTAATACAATCATATCCTAAATTCCAAAATTACACAGTGGTCAAGTAAGACAGTAATTCATGTATTTAAAATCCTAAACCAGATACCATCATGCCATTAAACTGTAAAATAAATCAACAAGAATCAACAGAGAACAATGTCCGATTTCGGGCTCCATTAACAATCCATAATTAATTATGCATATTTATCTAACTTGTACAAAAGACCGTATTATTATTTATTCAAGCTTCACATATATGATAGGAAATAGGATAAGGGTTACTTACTTGATTCGATGCCGAAAACTAGATTGTTACTGCGCCTACGAGCGGTCCCTTGGATTCCTAAATTTTTATTCGGAAACTGAAACGCGCTTACGGTACCTACATATGTCCCAAATAACCTAAAAATCATATCCAGGGCCTACTTGGCCAATTTCAGAATTCTGGTACGGGGGCTACGCCGTGCTTCGGCAGCGGTGGCGATCCGCCTCGGGCTGGCTGTTTTCGGCCGAATTCAACTAAACTTGCATCGGTTCCTATGAGAAAACACACTTAGGGCCCTCGGTGGGTCGAAAAAATGTAAAAAACTGAAACTCACCGGCGGTGGAGCTCTCTAGTGCGGCGGTTCTTCCGGCTCACGTTGTGGTTGGGTGTTTTGTTCCGGTAAATCTGTAGAGGAGAAAACAATGATCACAACGGTAGAAAAATCACATCGAACGTGAATCGGGAAGGACCTCATCGGAGGCAAAAATCGAAACACCCTGCGGTGGCGCCGCTGAGTTTTAGCGGCGTTTTTCGGCTAATTGGCCGGTTCTTTCACTCCGATTTGGCCATGGGTGGGTTTGGAATCAAATTAAGAGAAAATGGTAGAATTTGTACCTCGTTTGGCTGCCAAAAATTACACCGGTGCGGCGGCAGTCGGCTCCCCGGCGGCTGGACTATCTTCTCTAGCGAGGAGCTCTGGCAGCTAGGGTTAGGGTTTGGGTGCGGATGGGGTTATTTATACCCATCCGCTTTTAATTTGGGTCGTCCATTGCATTAATCTGGATCGTCCGATCGCGATTAAATAGGAGTGAATCTGGACTG